GCTTTAGTGAGGCGACAACTGCGCGTTTGTAGTGCTTCAGTAATTTTTAGTTCACTAATTGTGACTGCAAAAGTGTGGAGTGCGAGTATCACTGCAACTGCGCTTCTAAATACTGTGTACGAAAATTAACAGTAGCGCCACTGTATCGCTTCTATAAGCTCCTAATTTGAAAACGCCCTAACAGTCTTAAAGACAGGAACTAAAGATAAAAAATCTTAACAAACATATAAATAAGTACAATTTTCGGTACATACGATGTTACCTAATTACTAAGGACAACTGTTGTGCGTAACGTGTAGTTAAACATACAAAACAAATACTTGATTATAACTTTTCATAGCTTACTATGAAAATAAAAATATTTTTATAAAAATAATATTTTGTTAATCGTTCATTCCGTTATTACTTTTATGAACAAACTAGAATGGGAAAAGCGCAAAAGACCCAATGTGCATTAAAACTTACATACTAATAGTTTATGGGACTATTACATAATAAAAGGTATTAAAATACGAGTGTGGGTTTATAAAAACATCACACGAGTGTTTTAATGCCTAATTATGTACAGTTACATACACTGCTTTATCTACACACATATTATAAGCTTTCTGCGATGTGTTCAGGGACCGCATGTTACGACTGGCGAAATGGCGTTAAATAAAAACTTTTCTCACACGTGGCACACAACCGTAGTTTCTTATTAATTCATAAACAATCTATAGTCGGCCAGAACTGTCATATAATATAACCTTGTAACGACGAAGCAAATACATAAATTAAATTAAAAGTAACACCAAATTAGTGAGAAATGAGCCGAGAAACAATTTTATGTAATAAAACTCGAATTTGATGTTTTTTACAGATAAGAAATTTGTTCTAACAGTTTGTCTTTACGCTGGCCGTAATAATTTGCGGTTTTTGAACACAACATTTGATATGTGTGTAGGTAAACTAATATTATGCAATCGTTGCATAATGAGGGTTCTTAAAGTCGAATACTGTGTTTAGTCACGAGATTTTAGGATCTAATTATGTAACGATTGCATACAATAATTTTTCTACGAGTAAATGAAAACAATAAAACACAACCAATGCTTAAAGATTATCCTTAACAATCCACGACAACAAACAAATACGAAAGCCAAACAAACACTACAAAACAAAAAACCAAAGAGATATAGTATAGACCAAGTACCGCTTATACTTTTAACCAATCGTAGAGCGTTTGAATAGCGTCATATTTGATATTTTAATTAGCAAAAATATGACGTTTTTAGAACACAAAATTTTGGTACAGAACTAAAAAGAGCTCTTTTGTGACATGATTGATCAAAGTACAGTATTAGAAAAATATAATTACAGACTTTAGGCCTAACTAAGTGCGCCCTTAGTTTTGTGTGAAAAAAAACAAGCGGGATTTTTTCAAATATTCTATAGTCTGTCTTTTTTGAAGATGAAGTAAAATGACATTTGTAGGGTTGCCAGTTATATAAAAATATAAAATTTTAAATAGTCATGTAGTTGATGTCGACAGTTTTTCGATAGATAGTGAAAGAAGGAAAAAATTGCCAAGTGTATGTAGGTCGATGGGTCCTAACTTTATCCGGTCCGAATTTGATCATTTTCACTTATTTGAAAATGCTACATTTTATAATGAAATGAAGCATTTCCCACAAAGAAATGAAAATGATCAAATTGTTAGTTTGGCCCTTATACTTGGACCCATTCATGTACGAACTTACAAAAATCGACAATTCAAATGAACCCGTGTCCAGCAGTTGGACGAATAATGGGCCGATGATGATTCAAATAAATCAACGTCGGCTATTTATTGCATAAGCGTAACAATATTCAATCGATGGGCAATCACTAGCCGTTTGCAAACGGGCAACACTTTTGCACAAGGAACCGTGATTTTAATTCATCTTAAAAAATACAGACTATAGGTACCCTATATAGAATATAATATAGACCTAAATTTGAGTTACTTTCATTATAATGCACACTGGGCGTTTACTTGAACCACGTGTATATTTTGTGTACAAGGGACGTTATTATGTTAATAAGCTGGAGTCAGATAAACTTTCTTTTATTAATATACACTCCCAGACATATAATTCGAGCCACCTCGCATTATATACTTAAGCAATGCTTGATTGACCAAAAATTATTAAGCAATTTTGAAACTTCATATAAAAAAATCCTTAAATATAAAAATAAATTCTTGTGGGAAATTTAATTTGCCGGGGGGAAAACTTTTTCTTCGACGATAACACTATTTTTGTATTCTAGCCCGTATTTATGTGGTCTGTGACCCTTTAAGACAAAAATGCGAGGTGGCTAGAATTATGTGTCCGGAAGTATATTTAAATTTCGAGAAAAAAACAAACACTCTGAATTATGACTAATAAAAATAAAACCATAGTTATAGTTCGCGAAATATTATTGAACCAATTTATCGAGTATATATTTGGAGAATCAAAGAATAGCTATTTCAGTAAAGCATGTGCCATCTGTTTACTACACACTGCTAAATTGCATGGTGAAAACACACATTTACTTATGGAAAGATTATAATGAACAAAAGAAATTACAAGAGCGCCTTCAAATTAGACGCTTAATACTCAGTTGAACCATTTATTTTACTTTTGGCAGCTCGAATTGTAATCAATTAGTGATGTCCTAATGCGTTACCGATTAAATTTGTTATAACAATCGATTCTATTTTTAAGTAGCGGTAGACCTTGTGAAAGATTTCGTCCAGGGAAGTACTGCCACTTTGCCTATTTCTGCCACCAAGCAGTAATGTGAACATTACTGCGTTCCGGTTTCGGAGGGTAAGGGTGCTGGTGAAATTACAGGCAATTGGGACTTGTCAACTTATGTCTCAGGGTGGCAACACTTTTGTGCAATTAACTGTCATTTTACTCCATCTTCAAAAAAGAGAGACTAAGCATATATCGACCCCTCCTACGTAAAGTATCGTATGTCGAAATTGCCAAGTTTACAGGGAAGTGTTTTAAAGTTTTGAATCCACTGAAAGGACATAACAGGTGACTTTAGCATTTTTCAGTTTTATTCGGCAAACGGTTACTCACACAGAGTATTGTAAAACCCTACATATCGGTTAGATGATCTATTAGATTAGCTTTGTCGTGTTATGCTCATTTCAGTGAATTCAGAACTTAAAATGCTACCCTGTAAACTTAGCAATTTCGACATACGATACTTTACGTAGGAGGTGTCCATATAGGCATGGAAGCCAGCCGTATACGCTTCGGCGAACTTGTCTGTATGTACATGATGTTAGTAATTATAGTCCTGCAAGGTTGTTAGTGTTTTATCAATGTTAATATTTATGTGTATAGTCGATAACATTCTAGAGCACAAATAATACTTCGCGAAATATATTTTTGTGTGAAAACGGGAGACCTAATTGCCAGCAGCTACTTGAACAACGCGCAAAGTGAGAACGCTGCAAGTATATATGAGTTTTCTGCTGCGGAGATTCAATTTAGTTAATTTTATTTAGACTATAATTATTCATATAATGATCGAACACAAAGAAAAATTCCCGGGAGTACCGTCACCTTGCTCTTCCAACTGAGCTACAAGGTCGAGTTAGCACGAGTTTCGACGCCGTAAGTGACATTTGTGAGAAATGTATGAACCTTCTCACTCAACCGGTAACTTTCCAGTTACCACAAGCTAATGTTGATGATAAAGGTCGCAGGTTTGAGTCCTGCTGGATCGAAGGAATTTTTCTTTGTGTCTTAATAATTATAGCTAAAACTAGTGGAGTTATTTAACAATAAATTTATAAATAATACATTTTTCGACTAGTTGTCATATCATTATTCTTTTGTCTCATATGAATAAATATTTTACGTCGTTTGCAAACTTACGAAATGCAATGTTCTGTGTAATGTTGGATATATCCCGGAAAAAATGACTCCATAACTTAATTCTAATAAATATTTTACATTTAACGAATTCGCTGTTGACAGATTTTTAAATCATCTCAGTTCAGCTGCCCCATAGCAACACCTAGTAAGTGTTTAAAACAAAATTTTACAGGAGAGCCCAAAACAATTCCATGGAGATTTACGTATTCCAGAACTCTACTTAATACTCAAGTGAGGACTTGACTATTGCAGTGAGCACTGAAAATCATACTCAAGTCCTTGCCATTGGGGTCGTATTTCCAGTGCTTGAAATCATACTCAAGTCTGCTCAAATCCTGACTTGAGCATTGAGTACAGTTCTGGAATACGACCCTTAGTAACGCAATCCCAACCGTTAATTAATGAATCCCATCACTGCCATTCCACTGACACTTTATTAAGAATTAAACTTTCACGATTTTCACTTATCATTTGATTTTTAATTCTGGACTTAATCATGTATAAAACATATTTTAATTACCTAGACGTTTCGGACGTATTGCAACGTCCATGGTCTCGAAGGGACTGAAGAGGCACTTGATCTTCATTATTTATTTGTGCAGTAGGTTTGTCACCAGACCGACACAAAACGCGGAAAAAATCAAAGACACATCGCGGCTGCTAAAAACCGTCAGCGCAACAAGTCTGCAATAGCCGAGCATTTGCTGGAATCAGGTCCAAACCACTGGATTGAGCTTCATAATCCCCAAGATCCTTTCTATAGAACGTCATCACTATAGTAGAAATTAAAAAACGCCATAATATTAACCGAGAAGACGGTTTTAAGCTTTCATCTTCATGGGACCCAGTTATCAACAAATGTAAACGACATTAATATCACCCGACAAGTCGTCGAATGTTGTGAGTGTTGTGTCGGTCTAAAGACAACCCTAGTGCACAAATAAATAATGAAGATCAAGTGTGGGTAGTTAGAAAAACTCGCACGGCTAGAAGTTGCTGACACCCACCTCTTCAGCCCCTTCGAGCCTATGGACGTTGCAATACGTCCGAAACGTCGCGGTAATTAAAATACGTTTTATACATGACTAAGTCCCGAATAACCTTTAAAAATTAAAAAAAACTCTATTATGACTCAACTGCCATTGCAATTAGATATTAGTAGAATAGAATAACGACTGTTATCATAATTGCAAAATCTCGGTGGAATTACAATAACCAGCGGTTTTAAGAAAATTAATAGATTTGGGGCTGACAGATCACATGTCGAGACTCGTAAAGAGATGCACGACTTCTTAAATCACAAAATCTATCTACAGATTTGAAAGCCGACAAGTTACTATTGAACCCTAAACTTGTGACGTCATTCATAGTGAAATAATTAGCTCTGAAAAACACTGCAATGTAACGAGGCTCAATTGTAATTTGCCAGCTTTTAGCGCTATATTCATCAGGCTATATTTGCAGTACAACATGTTGGGTAACGTTGTGTAATGTCGCAAAACTGAAATTAAGTAACATTCAGCAATGTGTTGCACAACAATGTTCCCTGCTTATACTTAATTTTGAGATTCCTAAAAGTCTTCAGTCTCCAGAGTAGTTATTGCAATAGCAATATTTATTGAGATGGGGGAAGCGATCGCTGATGCAGCTAGGCTGGTTTCCGTACGCGTTGATACGAGATATGTCTCGCGTGTTGACGACAAATTTGTCTTCAGCCTTTACGTACGTCATTGAAGCTTCGTACGTTCCCTTGCCCGGTGATACGTCCAACTGAAACAAAATTAAATTTTCTTTCTTATCTCTGCATTAACCCATGTCCGTGCTAATGCTTAACGCCTCTTGGAGCGGTTCAGATGGGGTTTTCACGTACTCCGATAAGCGGATAATTTCAAGATGTTTTCCTTTACCGTAACATGATGGCATAAACACTTTTAACTTCAAATGCCAAGCATTCGATTTGATATTATAAAATTTAAAGAAAATGGAAATGTTATGGAGCATAATGTGTTTTCACAACAGTTTTCACCAATTTTCACAATTTGTAAGTAAATTTCAATTTCAACATTCCTAAATTGCATTTCCTTTTCATACTTCTTATTTAGTTTAAAACTTCAAATTTTCGAGATTTAATTCTTCTTATTTAATCCAAGTGTCGCCATCTACAGTTCTAAATATGTACTAAAGTTACTTTGAGTGAATTGATATCCCACTCTACAAGTTACTCATAATAGACTACAAAATATATAATTATTACTTTTTGCATTATTTTCTGAATTTTGAATTTCATAAATAATTGCTGAATAATTTTGCATTAAAAAGGCAAAATCGACAACATTCCATTTCATCATCATATCTGCCCGAAGATGTTCACTGCTGAACATATGCCTCCCCCAAAGATTTTCAGACTAGCCGATCGGACGCGACGTGCATACATCGGTTACCCGCCGCCCTTACCGAGTGAACGCCTTCCGGTTCGCGATCTCCATTCGAGAACCTTTCTGCCCCAACGGCGTCAGTTCTACGAGCTACGTGTCCAAATTCCATTCAGCGTAGTGTTAATTAGTAGCGTCAACGGCGAGCGGGCTCACCTGCAGCTGGTAGGTGGTGGTCTTCTTGTCCGCGTCGGCGGCGCCGAACTTGCCCACGTACCCGTCGGCGTCGCGCGCGCCCGCGAACGCTAACATCCGCGTGTTGGGCGCGCGCTGCGCCACGTAGGCCACCGAAATGACGGCACGCGGGGCGCACTGCGATCTGGCGGCAAGGGGAGACACCGCGGTGTTAGTACCGAGTGGGTCTAGTACGCTTACGACACACGGCAGTAGTACATTATTGCAAAAGCAAAGACCCAAATATGTCAAATTGATATTGATTGCGCTGAGCGGGTGAGTTTAGATAGTCAAATGTTCAAGAAATGCTGTTTTTGATCTAAACGAAAAGGGAATGTACTTAGTTTTGTCAATATTTAACGTGAGGAAGCTAGAAGCCAATCAACCCGTAACCACTCTCAAGGCAAATTCAGCATTGTTTTTAATTTCTGGCCAAGTTGCACCATGGACAAGTAAAGCAGTGTCCTCAGCGTGGTGGTTAATATAAATGTTGAAAAGAGTAGGACCAAAGATTGACCCTTGCAGGACTCCGAATGTGATTAGTTCCTAATCACTAATATGAGAATCAACTTTGACTATCTGTTTCGTATTGGACATATAGTCTGCAAAACATATCTAAGGCTATCCCCCTAACTCCTACCTCTTGCAACCTTGTCAATAGGATGGAGACTCACACCGTATCAAACGCTTTACAGAGATCCCATGTATTTGACTCCAGAGTCCAATATCCTGACTGCACTGTCAACTAAATCGCAGACTGCATTTTCAGTCGATATTCCTGCTCTAAAACCAAAATAGTTTGCAGCCAAAATATTGTTCTTGTTTAAATAATTTACTAGTCTCCTATTTAGAATCTTTTCCAGGATTTTTGAGAGGGGAGGTAAAACCGAAATTAGTTGTTTAGATCCTCTAGTTGCTTAGATTGTTCGCATCTCCACCCTTATGAATTGGATGCACAGTTGCCTATTTTAGAGCGTCAGGAAAAACACCCCGAAGAGATAGAAAAGTTACATAAATATGTGTAATGTCAGGGACTAGGAATCCCTTCGGTACAATCGGTCTACTTTCCCGATGAATTCCCTTGACATTTTGAGTATGCTGGATGATATACCGTCCCAACCTACAGCACTATTTGCTAGTAGGTGTGGTAGTTAAGTTCAAACATGCAACCGTCCTTCACGACAACCCCCACCTCAAGCGATCTATTTAAATATCTTGTAAAATGTGATGAATTATTAAAGGTTGCGAGGTTGTTAGAAATTTACAAATAACCCTGTACAGTGCTTGATTAAAAGAAAGTTATGATAACTCATTAATACATTTCTGATCATCTCTTCGAAGATACTACGAAAAGAGCTTAGAACTCAGAGGCAGTTATTTGGACCGTTAAGGCATTATTACCTGGCGGACTCCGTTAGCGAGTTAATGTGGTTAACTAAAGCGTCAGCAGCACGGCGGTGCATGGGATCGGACGGCGGGACTGTGATCCAGCGGTGGCACGCACACCAGTGGGCCTCTATTGCGGCTTCACTGCATGATCTGTTGCGAGGTATCTGAAATAAAATTATTAAGATCTTATAACTAAGGGCGTAAAATTATTGAAAAGTTGCAAAAGTGTAGTTTCTGTGCAGTTTGTTTTACAATTGCTAGAACTGCCATATCATCGCTGTTGGGCGTGAGTTTCCTTGAAGAAGAAGATTTAGGCCATAGTGTGTCACGCTCATTGGGGAATTGGGGGGTTAAACTGGAGGACATTAGCGCGGGATCGTGGGAAGTGGTACAGAAACTTGGAGGCCTGTACCCAGCAGTGGGTGAAGTCAGGCTGTATATGATGATGATGATGTGCCAAACTGGCCAATCCCACAATTTCTTCCAAGTTTGATCGGAGAGGCAGTTGCAGTACCGATATACAACACTAAAAGCATGTAATCGCTTATGTTATATCATATAAAAAAAAAAGTTCCGAGTACCCGTTGCCAAGTAAGATGGAATTCCCAAATATCATCGCGATCTAAGGCTACAGACAAATTGTTGAGTATGTGCGTTATTATTATTAAAATTAGACTCTTATAGAAGCACTGTAGTGGCACCATTAGAACTTTTCATACAAGCGTCTAATCGGGATGGGAAAAATTTAAGGCGTTAAGTATATGTATGTATGTCTAATTTGAAGGCACCTTTATAGTCTGTCTTTTTTGAAGACGGAGTAAAGTGACAGTTCATTGCGCAAAAGTGTTGCCCGCTTTTGAGCAGCTAGTGATTGTAGTCGATAAATATTCTATCGACTATCAGCTGAATATTGGTCACGCTTATGGAATAAATAGCCGAACATGTTTCGTTTGAATAATCTTCCACCCATTATTCATCCAATTACTGAGCACGAGTTCATTTGAATTGGTAAAGTTTGTAAGCATCCATATAAACACTGTATTTAGAATTATGTTAAAATGTATGTGAATAAAAATTCATCTCGATACTAGTAGGCCCACTGTTAAAATAAGAATAAAGAAGAAAATTAGTAATCATTAGAACGTCGCGTCGTATTCATTAACAATTCAGTCATTTTTGGCAAAATTTTATCTTCTTACACAAAAACTGCCTCGGTGGCCGAATTTGTATGGCCTACACTCATTTCTCTCGTGAGTTTGGGTGTAATTTGTGGTTGTCTATATGTGTGTCCATGGCACCCACGACACAGGGTTTCCCTAGTGTGAGGTATGTTGAGTGTGTGCGTTATTATTATTATTAATCTATCGATAAAACTATCGACAACTCATAACTATTTAAAATTTCGTGAAAACTGGCAACCGTAAAAACACAGACTATAGTGTAAAATCAATCAACGCCATCTAGCGTCTTCGAAGGGAACTACATACTACTCATAGTTTTAAGGTTATAATATAACATTTATTTAGAATTTACTTCATCAATTCATTAAATGTCCCACTGCTGGGCACAGGTCTCCTGTAGGGGGAGGCCTTGCGCTGTAATCCCAACGCTAGCCTAATGCGAATTGGAAACATCACAAGTTTTCCACCGATTGTGAGCCTTCTTCGACTTGCAGGTTTCACCATAATCTTCGTCACCGTTAGCATGAGGTATTGCTACTAAACGTTCACAAATATAAAATACGTCACTTTCAAACAAACGAGAATTTGGGAACTGGAGGGCCAGATTCAATAGAGAAGTAGAAAAGAACTAGTGTCTGAGCCGAACATAGTCGGGGAAATAAAATCTGATCGACTTCGCTGACTAGGACATGTGGAAAGAATGGGAAAGAACGTATTTGGGGCAACCTACGGGTCATCGTCCAGTGGGCCGTCCAAGGCATCCCTGGAAGGATGAAGTCGCTAAAGACCTAAAGCAACTGAATGTGTCACAAACACAAGAGCGGGAAACATGGCGTACTTTGGTGTCGGAGGCCAGCGGAATAAGTAACTTTCAAACTCTTGAAAATCATAGGTACCGGCAGAGGGATTCAAACTACCTCCTAGAGCTTGGTCTTCTTCGTCGTTAAGAGATTTGCCAATCGGCACAAAAGTACTCTAGTACGTCGTGCTACGCTCTTAAGGCTTTTTTCATGCACCCCTTTGGAGCATGGTTTGGCACTGAGATGCAAACTTACCGGCTCGAACAACGTCATTCCTCTAGGTAAATCGGCGCCTTTAACCTTAAAGGGGTTCCAATGCTCCGTCATCCCAATCGCGTCCAATACCGTTGCATAAACGTCGTGAGGCGTTGTCAGAACATCGATGTTTGATTGTAAAGCCGCCTTTACTTCTGGTCGCTCTGCTAGTAGTTTTTCTGGTAAAACTATTCCCATCAGCGGTAGACGCTCTTCCAGTTTACCTTGGTAGGTGGCTCGGACGTTCAGATACCTGGAAACATATTTAATCAAACAAATATTATACATTCTGTTCAGAGTAAAAGCGAAATAAATAATCATTTAAATTATTAAATAATTAATTCATTAATTTGTAATCCGTGCATTGGTAGCACCGCGACACTCGTGTATGGGTGCCTTTATTTGTAACTTCTTGTCGATGACAATTCATCTATTTCTCTATGATGGCTGCCGCTCCAAAAGCCGGCCTTGATCTTGTTATGTAAATTACCTTCATTTAATATAAGTGTAGTGTTTCCTTTCTTTGGTGTACAATAAAGAATTTAAGTATTGTATTGTATTGTACTCAATTGGGACTGTTCTTTAAACGAACCACTCTAATTAAAATATTTTTAACGTAAGTTTTGAGCTTAGGAAATAATAACCTTAATATATGCTCCGCAATCTTATTGTATAAACGTATACAGTTCCCCATAAAAGAATCGTTTACCTCAGTTAAACGAAATAGTGGTACCATGAATTTGAACAGAAGTAGTTGGGTGGGAGTTGCAAGCGGCATCATCGAAACGCTGTGCTGTTTGCACGCAATTCCGATGCGGTTGTTGCAATTGCAAAACGAACTGCACACTGATTGCACTACTGAAGCCATTTGTCATTTTTTGAACTAGTAAATACATTTGAGTTTGGAATGCCGCAAAAAATACTAGTATCTTCGTCCTGGTAGAGCTTTTTTTTAACATGATACGAAGCGACGCGACGACACGAACAAGTCGTGCGCCTTGTAGTAAGCGAGACGCCTGTTCATAACAGTGCAGTTCCACTCAGAGCTTTAAAACACAAAGATATGAGGGGCACTGCCACTGCGCTCGTCACCCTGAGACATAGGTTGGTCTCATGTGCCTGTAATTTATAATTATAACCAGCACTCCTACCCTTCAAAACCGGAACGCAGTAATGCTGACATTACTGCTTGGCGGCAGAAATAGGTAAGGTGGCAGTACTTCCCTGGACGAACTCTTTCACAAGGAGCTCTATTGATACTAAGACAATTGACAAAATGGACCTCAGAGTGAGTTTGACTAAAATTAACTTCTTTACATTATTATTAATTTATTAATTAAGGAATAGGTATAAAGAAAACTTTAACCTAGGCTGTAACAGTGTAACAAAATCCGGCTATGGTTTGACAGGCAATAAATTAAAATACAACGGTATTTACTTATGGCATCATTCATGAAGAGCAGTAATTACTGGATGGAAAATAGTAATAAAAAAAATTAAATGAAAATTTTGTCTGTGAGAAACAGTTAATTCTAAGATTTTTGTCTATAGAAACTAAAGGCCATACCTAGGTCCGTGATCGCCAAAAACAAACAGCAACGTGTTCTGTAGCCGTCCATCTTCTTTGAACTGGCGCAGAAAACTGACGAACTCTTTGTCGGCAGAGGTGATCTGGTTGAAGTCGTCGTGAGTTATGTCCGCTATGAAAGTGAAGCAAAACTTCTTGGCGTCCATTTTGAAGAACTGAAAAATTTGCATTTAACGCGGCTTGAGAATTCATCGATCTTAATTCTTTTTTTAGTATATTTTTGATTCAGGTTTATTGAATTTCAAAACTTTTGAGGTCTTTTTTTATAAAAATGTTATTTATATAGTCAAGGGCGTTTCCATTATGTGGTGACGATTGATAGACGTGCAGTTTAAAATGGCGTGACTTGTATATTTATATGAAGTTGTTCAGTACCACACGATTAACTGTCGTTCAGGACTTTTTGAAGTTACGACAACAGACTGTCGTGACAATGAGAAGAGCTAGAACGACAGTCGTGCAACGCTTCTGTCGTGCAAACGACAAGGCGGCTGCCGTGAACCGATAACTTGTCGTCACGATCTAATGGGAACAGCTAGACTCGACAGTTGTTCAACAATAAAATAAACGTCCACAACACAGTCACGACAGATAGTCGTGATATGGGAACAGGCTAGACGCAACAGTCGTCTAACGATAAATAACACGTTACGACATAATGGGAAAGCGCCCTCAGGCGCCGACGATCTTGACTGCTCCACAGGTCAAAATCAATCTTAAGTTCGAGTCGTGGATAATAGTCACTGGAAGTCATCGAGTATATAACCAGATTAAGAGACGAAATATCGGCCATATATAAATATAGGAAATATATAAATATAGGCGTTTGCGCTGAACCACAAATTAGAAACCTGAAACAGTACAGCGCCAACAACTGACCTGTGTGTACGTCTCCGTATATTCCAAAAATATTCTGTATTTATTGTAATAAAGTTAACATCTCTAACTATAGAGGGCTGTTGCATTCGATGGTATGGGAAAAACAGCAAAAAAATTCACATTTCATATGTAATTAAATATTAAATATGTAATTTTGCAGTTTTCGTCCATTATAGCAAGCTCAAGTTAAACTAGTAGATTTGAAGTGAAACAATTGACACCCGCCAATTGTTTCGAATTCGGGCTGGCCAATCGGATCGCTGTTGTCACAGTAATGATTTGGCAGAATTGTTTTCAAACAAATTAAAATATTTTTCGTCTCTATTTCTGATTATGTACTCGATGCTCGAACTACCAATCTACTCTAGCCAAAATGTTACATTGAGATTCAGAAATGCACTAAAATGGTTCAACGCCATGTAGCTATGAGGATATGTGGTATATGAAGATATGTGATATGTACACGTGTACTTTACCTGTTCAGTGATATTCATCATGAGCTTATATTGTGGGGTATCACCAACACAGTATTTGTTGGAGTGTTTTCTCATTTTGTCCACCTCGAGATAGAAGTCGCGCAGGTAGTGATCCGCGGGCTGTTTAGCAAAACCGTTGAAGCGGTACTGGAACGTGCCTATGGAAGGCTGGTCTTCGAAATACGCGGTGCGGTAGCTGCGACAGGAATGCAACTATGGTAATACGACACCACCACCCTTGAAAAACTTGTGTAGACCATAGTTTCCCAAAGTAGCCCCCCAATGGGCGCTGAAGAGTTCTAGGGAGCAGTACTGTCGTCCACTAACCAAAACGTGATTAAGTGACAAAATATTTTTTTGAGATATCGTAAAAGATCCGATAAATCGAACACATTAACTAATTTTAACTGTTTTTAAAAGATAATTTTGTGCTCTATTTTTTGCTATTTAAAACAGTTATTTGACCAATGTCACTTTGCCGCGTTTTAGTTCGTCGACGGTAGAGCAGGGACCCCGGAAGCAATTGGGGGTCGTTGATGATGTCCACACGGTGTTACCGTATTTGAAAAAAAAGAATTGAATTATCTATTTAGAGTACACTACGCTTTTAGAGAACACTACTACACATATGTATATTTTTTTCTTGTGATGTTTTGTGTTAATTTACTATAAAAAATACAAGTTTTCAATTATTTTTGGTAGTGGTGGACGTTGAAATTTGCGGTGAACCAAAAAGTTTGGGAACCTATGGCCTACACCCTCTCTTTAAAGGTGACCCGTGCCCATTAGTGGAACGTACAATGGGTTGATAACAAATCTTCAGAGAACAATGAAAATTTTAGCCTGAAACGTGATAATATAGTAGCGATTATGAAGTGGAGTGTTTTCTTATGGGTAAAGACATATACCAAATACTATAAAGAAAACTTTTAAATAAAGAAAACTTTACTCATTAATTTTTTTTTTTTTACATCTTCATGACATGATAATGGCTTGCTATGATAGTATGTTAATATTTAATTAAATCTATTTAACCAAAAAAAAAAAATATTACCAATAATTTAGTATTATAATAATTGTTAATAACTCTGTACTACTATTAGAATTGCTTTAAAATTGTTAAATTATAAAATATTGATGACCATATATCATCTGCATGCCAAGTTTGGTGAAGAATGAGGACAGTCCTCTTATTATATATTATGTGTACCATCTTTTGTAAACCATATTTCAGGCAAATAAATTACATTTCATTTATATATATTTATTGTGTATCTGTGAACGATTGCAACTTATTTTCACTTACCCATCTTGCTTGACTCTATGGAAAATGAAGTTGGTGTGATCCATGAAGTTTTTGCCCATAGACTTCCTGGCTTCGGGCCACTCTAGTTCAGTCTTGCCGGTGAGGATGGGGAACAGTGATGCCGGGGTCCCATCTCCGACTATGTTATACCTGGAAAATATCGTAAATGAATATCTTTGGAAAAGCTTAGGTCCTGTCCTTAGTTACATTGTTGATGTAATCGATTCTTTTGTAATTGAAATTATAACACTGATAATAACGTTCCATTAACGTTTAATAAGAGTGCAATAACCCAATACAAGGCAGTATTGGTTAGATACAATGTGCAGGGGGAGAATTTGGTTTATTTCGAATCTTGCAAATGCCGAGTCGACATACTAAGGTTTATCGACTTATTAAGGTTTTCGCGATTGTTGCACATAGGAAAATGAAACTATTTTTCCGGATTTAAATCGCGTATATTTGTTTTTCCAACAAACCAACGTTTCGGGGCCTTTTACAGGTTCCATGGTCACGGTTGACTAAGGTGGTAAAGTCATCAACCGTTTACCCACTCAGGCAAAATAAAATAATACAAAAATGGAAAAAAGACCAGTGAATTTTGATCTTTGACATTGTGATATCCGAGCCAAGAGTAAAGTACTTAATTTGTTCTTGCCGTAGCAGAATTACGTTTACTTAGTAAGGAAATACCCCGGAAGCTTCGAGAACATGCGTCTTGATCACAAATTAAACAAGCAATTTAATCAACATGTTAAAGGAAATATCGAAATTAGCAACTTACCTAGTCAAGAAAGTGGCTTTTAAAACATCTTTCAGATATTTATAGCTCTCGGGCATCTTCCTGATAAAACCATTTCTGGCTGTGGAGTCGAAACCGAATATTAGCACATTGAGGGTGTCTTCTCTGCCAGGTGGGGGTGGCGGGGGAATCACCGTTGACCGAAATCCGGTAAGTATACCCGTCCATTTCGATGGGAGTATACTGAAAATTATTTTAACAGAACCTTTATTCCAATGTACTGAAAGCGCAGAAGCTGCTAGCTTTTTAAGCACCCTGTGCCACGAAGAATAGTATTTTGTTTTTTCTTCATTTCTATAGCAGTTTTTTATCTCTCGTTTAAAGAGCAACATTTAATAATTTCGACCAAAAGTTACTTGTGACAGATGCATTGTCACTTTTAGATAATGCACAATTAAACCCTTTGTGAAAACAACTTAAGGTTTAATATTCAATGGAGTATTCCGACAGTTTGACAACATCTATTGTCCATTTATTTAGGTACTTAACTAAATGTAAACAATCTTGATACATCTTTTTATTGAAAAATATGTCTTACAAATCAATAGGTATAAAAATAGGCATGCAATTTCATATGAAGGCAAGTACATATTTGTAATTTGTATTTGAAGGTAAGTAAAAATCATTTTATAAATGTATATTTAATGAAGATTGTTTACATTTAGTTAAGTACACTAAACAAATGGACTATAGTCGGGGCTCATAGTATTGTGGTGTATTGTATCAAAATTCCCTATTGCATTACATCATTCACATTAGCCTCTGACTATACATGGAACTTATTAGTATAAGTGATATTTTAGATTTTTAAATTAAAATGCATCATGCATGCATGCAGACATACAACAAAACTTTTTTATGTCCCGCGTTATTGCAGCAATCCCTTTCTAAGCTTTTTATGATACCAAGTAGCTGGACAAAGAAGTTATGCGCCTGTCCGTAACATTAAATCGCAAAGCTCTGAAGAGCAATGTCACTGCTCCCGTCACCCTGACATAAATTGACAAGTCCCTGTAATTTCACCAGCACCTTAACCCCCCGTTCACACGGCATTGCATTGCACGTTATTTTGCAGTATTCGATGTGCGTTTATATGTGTGTGTGTTTTTTTTGCAGGACAAACACCGTGTGAACGGTTCTATATCTAATATATGCGCCACTGTTTATTCGGTTCGGATTTAAACTGCAAAAAAACGTGCAGTACAATGGCGTGTGAACGGGGGGTTACCCTCCAAAACTGGAACGGACTTATGTTCACATCACAAATAGGAAAGGTAGGCAGTATATGCCTGGACGACTCTTGCGCAAGAAGCTCTACTGATCTAAAACGCGACTATATCGCGTTAACGGGCGTCATCTGCGCGTAAAAAATATGCCGTGTAGATAGGCACGAATAGTTGGATATCAGACGTATAATGTTACATGCGTGATTGTTTTACGTGTTTTACATAGTCTGTTATCTGTACTTGTACCACGATAAATAAAATTAAATACGTATCGAGTTCTTAGGTTTTCGCGATTGTTACACATAGGAAATGAAACTATTTTTTCGTATTTAAATCGCGTATATTTGTTTTTTCAAACAAACCAACGTTTCGGGTCTTTTACAGGTGCCATGTCAGTCAACCGTGAACATGGGACCTGTAAAGGGCCCGAAAAGTAGGATTGTTTGAAAAAACAAATATACGCGATTTAAATCCGGAAAAATATTTTCCTATCCTATCAAATACGTGAAATTCTTACTCTATTCCTGATGTAAATAATTGAATTTCTTCAAGTTGTGAGGTATTATAAGGCTGAATATAGACCAACGTCCCATAGTATTCTAACAACACCTGTACATGTATGTAGTTCTCGTAAAGGTGGATATCCATTACGTTCTGCAACTGCTCCATTAGTGGATACGTTCCCATGCAACGTAATACGCTTCGCGGCAATCGCTCCGCGTGTTGGCGGTTTTTGCGCGGTAACAAAGCGGAGCGCAACATTGCTGCCAACTTAGCGACTTTGTCGCTAGATTAAACGACAATTTGACAACAAAAGCGACATTTTGTTTCTGTTTAGTTACAAGAAAAATTTTGCTCTTTTTTGGCGCCTTTTTAATTAGTTAGGTTTCGTCTATTAACATTTAACATGATTTCATCTTATCTCTTTTTTTTACTCAATGGTAAAATTGTATTGGTCTTTAAGTATAAAGTTTGTCCGGCCACTATCGCAGGACTTTGCGACTGATATCTCCGGTGCTAGTCCGGATAACTAGTAGAGAGAGGATAAGCGAAATTTCCCCCGGTCTATCCAGTCGCATAGGAATAATGGGAATTGGAAAGACGCTTCGGCGTCGGGAAGTGAGAGTGCCTACAGCTCTATCGCCAGGGAGGAGTGGGAGAGTTGGTAGTTAGTTGAATTTAGATTCAGCGCCTTAGCGGCGGCAACTGTTAGTTGTGCAATGCATAACGGGAAACGCGCGTGCCAACACCTCCAGTACCTATCTGAAAAATAGGGATGGTACAATACGTGCACCCGGAGTCACTCACCCAAAGCACTAGCCTTTTGAGCACCGGACGAAGTCCGTGACAACTATCTGACAACCCTGTCCACGAGCTGATCTGGGTTCAGGACCTGAACGTTTAAGGTCCCTGCACGGACTTGCTTGCACAGGTTATAACATTATAACATCCTGTATAATCAAAAGGTTGATAGAAAGGGGTTATCAAAATTTAAGTAGAAAGTTATGAGCTTGGTCTTTTATCTGTGCCATGACCATAAAGTTCTTGCCAGTGAAATGTACCTTATGATGAGCACCATAAGAGTAGAATTTTCATATCGAGTGGAATTATAGTTTTAGCGACAATTAGCGAATTTAAGCCTTCTGTCAAGCGACATTTGCTTTAGTTTAGTTGGCAACACTAGAGCGAAGTTATGTTCGTGGACGCGAGCAAGCAAGACGTTTCTGGATGTCGCGACCGCGAATTCATCTCTATGAAGTTTTGTTTTTTTTATAATATCAAGGAATAAAGGCCAAAGGAAAGAGTGGATACAAAGCATAGAAACTGGAACCGTTAAACTCAAATGTCTAACATAGAAACTACTTTTTATGCAAAAATTAGTGCGCATTTGACTTCCATCTCACCTGATGGACGATGGATGTGACAATGAGGTCGATGATGTAGCATGCAAACCTAAATAATGCCTATTCACTCTCACTTTGATATGGTCGAAATTACGTAGCGTAGTATGCTAAGAGGACCACGACGACGACTGGATACAGTGCTCCAGCTGCCGTGGATGGGATTATGAAGTACGTGCAGACATCCCTGAATGTTCAGAAAGCTACATATGCGATCGGTGCATGATGTTTTAAAGATGTCGGGTCTTGGGGGCTTGAATATAAGACTGTCCGGTAATAGGTGCCACTTGCAGTTGTTAATAAAGTTTGATTTATATTTTTAAGTATGTTTATGGAGAGTTTTGTACTTTTATTCATTTATTTTGATTCTAAAATTTGTTGACATTGTTATTTAATAAATAAATCTACGTTCCTAGAACCAGTTTTTTCTTTAATGTCTTATAAACTTAGGTGTCCGCCACTAGGCGACTTCCCCCTAGTTTAATTGAAGTTGGAGTACTATTTTCTGGTTGAAGCATAGGTTCGTCGTCACGAGAGCAAATATTTGCGAGATTTTCTGGATCAGTGGTGGTTTTATTTTGTTTGTTTTCTATTTTCTTTAAAATAAAACTGCGGCAAGTGGCGGTGGCTGGAAAATGCACTAAATAAAGTGGGTATGTCTTTGTGTCACGCGGTGCAGCGCGGCGCAGCCTGACGTCACCAGCTTATGTCACCACGGGCACTACAAAGTGTGACTAGGCTTCTCAACAAAAAGGTATATTTCTTTGAAAGGCAAACAATTTCTGAGCGACATCGGACTGCTTAGGGAGAACTTTGGAAATAGCAATAGGTACAATATAGAACTTTAAATGTGAATATTTCTTCTCACGGGAACATGCTGTGTGTGTGGTCGTGTTTTAAGCGATTTGTAGATTTTACATAAAGCACGCATGAGAAGGTTGCGGGTTCGATTTCCGGCTGTACCAATTAGGGAAATGAACTTTTCTAAAATGGTTTTGGCCTAGGTGTTCTGGAAAGTGTCGCTGAGTGAATTACGTAGCTCTTGGTCCTGGGTTTAATTTTCGGTAGAACCACTTTCGGAAATGAAATTTTCTAAAATGGTTTTGGCCTAGGTATTCTGGGTGTATTCTGTAACTCTTGGTCTCGGGTTCGATTCCCGGTATTACCAATTTAGGAAATGAACTTTTCTAAAATGGTTTTGGCCTAGGTGTTTTGGGTAGTGCCGCGGAGTGTATTCCGTAACCTTGGTCCCGGGTTCGATTCCCAGTAGAACCAATTTGGAAATTAACATTTCTGAAATGATTTTGGCCTAGGTGTTCTAGATAGTGCCGCGGAGTGTATTCCGTAACTCTTGGTCGCGGGTTCGATTCCCGGTAGAACCAATTTGGGAAATTAACTTTTCTAAAATGGTTTTGGCCTAGGTGTTCTGGGTAGTGTCGCGGAGTGTAATCCGTAACTCTTGGTCGCGGGTTCGATTCCCG